AAATTCTACTTTAACTTTCAAATAGCTTCGAGCATATTCCTGAGAACTATCGTTATATGTAACATCCTAGCTAACGATTCCGTAATGTAACAGTCAATAAAATGAAAACATTGATGATGGACAGGACAAGCCAATTACTGGTACATCAATGTGTCAAAATGTTCCCATTCTTAAGTTTCAATTGAGCACCTGATGGAATAAAATTACAGTGAATGATACAGAATGTTGTATCAGATCTTTCATCATCAACAAAATGGCCACAAACATATTTGTATCAATAATTTTTATGACAGAATAAAAAAAAAACAGCTTCTTAGATCTGACAGGAAAAACAAAAACTCCTATTTTGGGTAACAGGTCGACTGGCTACCAGCACCTAAGTTCTCATTAAAAGGTCATCAGTTAAAGTGTGCTAGCTTATCTCCCCCTAGTTTAGAAGTTTTTTGTTTTTTTAAATAATTCAATATTCTAAGAGATGGCAGCCAGTCTAAGTAAAAGGATAAGATATTTTTCAATATCAAACTCTATGATGAACTCGTTCAAATTCTCTCTACCCACTGACCTCCATGTTCCAACCAGGACTGTTTTATAAGTGTTTATTTGTATACTCAATCCTGTTCCGACACTCCCCCCCCCCCCCCCCCCCCCCCCCCATCAACCTCCCTGTTGTAGTCCAGTCTGTTTATTTGAGAACACAGTCCTGTGCCTCTATAACATTCCACCCATTAACCCAGCTTCCTTAATTGCCTTGTTGTATCGGAGTGTTGTTTGGTTCAAGTGTTCGGGAATGGCTGAACAGAGGTTACTAAGATCGAGTATTCTAGTAATGTTTTTCTAACTAGATCTATTACAATGGCTGACCAAGGAGGGGTCTAAATTATTTCCTTATATCTTGGACCAAAAGGTCGGAAGCTTTTCCTGGTATGGTGACAGAAAGTTCTAGATAATCTCAAGAGCATTTGATAGTTTATATAGTGGTTGAACAAGAGGTCTAGATAATTTCTGAAGCATTTGATAGCCAACACAGTGGTTGAACAAGAGGTATAGATTATTTCTAGTGCATTTGATAGCTTATGTAGTGGTTGAACAAGAGGTCTAAATAATTTCTGAAGCATTTAATAGCTTATATAGTTGTTGGGCAAGACGTCTAGATAATTTCCTGAACATTTGATAGCCAACATAGTGGTAGTTTAAGAGGTCTAGATAATTTCTGAAGCATTTGATAGACAACACAGTGGTTGAACAATAGGTCTAGATAATTTCTGAAGCATTTGATAGACAACACAGTGGTTGAACAATAGGTCTAGATAATTTCTGAAGCGTTTGATAGCTTATATAGTGGTTGAACAAGAGGTCTAGATTATTTCTAAAGCATTTGATAGCTTAGATAGTGGTTGAACAAGAGATATAGATAATTTCCAGAACATTTGATAGCCAACACAGAGGTTGAACAAGAGGTCTAGATAATTTCTGAAGCATTTGATAGCCAACACAGTGGTTGAACAAGAGGCCTAGATAGTTTCTGAAGCATTTGATAGCTTATATAGTGGTTGAACAAAAGGTATAGATTATTTCTAGAGTATTTGATAGCTTATATAGTGGTTGAACAAGAGGTATAGATAATTTCCAGAACATTTGATAGCTTATGTAGTGGTTGAACAAGAGGTATAAATTATTTCTGAAGCATTTGATAGCCAACACAGTGGTTGAACAAGAGGTCTAGATTATTTCTAGACCATTTGATAGCTTATGTAGTGGTTGAACAAGAGGTCTAGTTTATTTCTAGAGCATTTGATAGCTTATGTAGTGGTTGAACGAGAGGTCTAGATAATTTCTGAAGCATTTGATAGCCACCACAGTGGTTGAACAAGAGGTCTAAATAATTTCTGTAGCATTTGATAGCTTATATAGTGGTTGAACAAGTGGTATAGATTATTTCTAGAGCATTTGATAGCTTATATAGTGGTTGAACAAGAGGTATAGATAATTTCTTGAACATTTGATAGCCAACACAGTGGTTGAACAAGAGGTCCAGATTATTTCTAGAGCATTTGATAGCTTATGTAGTGGTTGAACGAGAGGTCTAGATAATTTCTGAAGCATTTGATAGCCACCACAGTGGTTGAACAAGAGGTCTAAATAATTTCTGTAGCATTTGATAGCTTATATAGTGGTTGAACAAGAGGTATAGATTATTTCTAGAGCATTTGATAGCTTATATAGTGGTTGAACAGGAGGTATAGATAATTTTCAGAACATTTGATAGCTTATGTAGTGGTTGAACAAGAGGTATAAATTATTTCTGAAGCATTTGATAGCCAACACAGTGGTTGAACAAGAGGTCTAGATTATTTCTAGAGCATTTGATAGCTTATATAGTGGTTGAACAAGAGGTATAGGTTATTTCTAGAGCATTTGATAGCTTATGTAGTGGTTGAACAAGAGGTCTAGATAATTTCTGAGGCATTTGATAGCTTATATAGTGGTTGAACAAAAGGTATAGATTATTTCTAGAGTATTTGATAGCTTATATAGTGGTTGAACAAGAGGTATAGATTATTTCTAGAGAATTTGATAGCTTATATAGTGGTTGAACAAGAGGTATAGATAATTTCTTGAACATTTGATAGCCAACACAGTGGTTGAACAAGAGGTCTAGATTATTTCTAGAGCATTTGGTAGCTTATGTAGTGGTTGAACAAGAGGTATAGATTATTTCTGAAGCATTTGATAGCTTATGTAGTGGTTGAACAAGAGGTCTAGTTTATTTCTAGAGCATTTGATAGCTTATGTGGTGGTTGAACAAGAGGTCTAGATTATTTCTGAAGCATTTGATAGGTATAGATTATTTCTAGAGCATTTGATAGCTTATATAGTGGTTGAACAAGAGGTATAGATTATTTCTAGAGAATTTGATAGCTTATATAGTGGTTGAACAAGAGGTATAGATTATTTCTAGTGCATTTGATAGCTTATGTAGTGGCTGAACAAGAGGTCTAGATAATTTCTGAAGCATTTAATAGCTTATATAGTGGTTGAACAAGAGGTCTAGATTATTTCTAGACCATTTGATAGCTTATGTAGTGGTTGAACAAGAGGTATAAATTATTTCTGAAGCATTTGATAGCCAACACAGTGGTTGAACAAGAGGTCTAGATTATTTCTAGAGCATTTGGTAGCTTATGTAGTGGTTGAACAAGAGGTATAGATAATTTCCAGAACATTTGATAGCTTATGTAGTGGTTGAACAAGAGGTATAGATTATATCTAGAGCATTTGATAGCTTATGTAGTGGTTGAACGAGAGGTCTAGATAATTTCTGAAGCATTTGATAGCCAACACAGTGGTTGAACAAGAGGTCTAGATAGTTTCTGAAGCATTTGATAGCTTATATAGAGGGTGAACAAGAGGTCTAGATTATTTCTAGTGCATTTGATAGCTTATGTAGTGGTTGAACAAGAGGTATAGATAATTTCCAGAACATTTGATAGCTTATGTAGTGGTTGAACAAGAGGTATAGATAATTTCCAGAACATTTGATAGCTTATGTAGTGGTTGAACAAGAGGTATAGATTATATCTAGAGCATTTGATAGCTTATGTAGTGGTTGAACGAGAGGTCTAGATAATTTCTGAAGCATTTGATAGCCACCACAGTGGTTGAACAAGAGGTCTAAATAATTTCTGTAGCATTTGATAGCTTATATAGTGGTTGAACAAGAGATATAGATAATTTCCAGAACATTTGATAGCCAACCCAGTGGTTGAACAAGAGGTCTAGATAATTTCTGAGGCATTTGATAGCTTATATAGTGGTTGAACAAAAGGTATAGATTATTTCTAGAGTATTTGATAGCTTATATAGTGGTTGAACAAGAGGTATAGATTATTTCTAGTGCATTTGATAGCTTATGTAGTGGTTGAACAAGAGGTCTAGGTTATTTCTAGAGCATTTGATAGCTTATGTGGTGGTTGAACAAGAGGTCTAGATTATTTCTGAAGCATTTGATAGCTTATGTAGTGGTTGAACAAGAGGTATAGATTATTTCTAGAGCATTTGATAGCTTATATAGGGGTTGAACAAGAGGCATAGATAATTTCCAGAACATTTGATAGCCAACACAGTGGTTGAACAAGAGGTCTAGATTATTTCTGAAGCATTTGATAGCTTATGTGGTGGTTGAACAAGAGGTATAGATTATTTCTAGAGCATTTGATAGCTTATATAGTGGTTGCACAAGAGGTCTAGATTATTTTCTGACCATTTCATTGCTTACATGATGGTTGATTGATAGGTCTGGATAATTTCAGGAGCATTTCCTGAAAAACCTCCTGGTTTGATGCCAATCAGAAAATCAGTAATTATGTGCCACGCAATAGCAAACAATATATCAGTATTGATGAACCAAATGATTTATTGGGTAGGGAGATCCACTGTCCTATGGGTGGTTGCATTTGTCAGTCGTAGTGCTGGTGTAGGAATCCCCGGTTTATACTGGAGTATAATTAACAAGGAAATGATGGAGCATCACCCTCAAGAATTTTGTAGCGGTAGACTTTTTTGAGTTGACATGTTTTCAGGTGGTTAGGCTAACCATAACTGTTCTGATGTCAGTTGGCATAGCCATCCAAAAAAGTCAACTGAATAAAATCTGCCATTACAGAATCCTTATTGTGTTGACACTCCATCACTTACCTGGCTGTACTTACCACTCAGAAAACCTTTCATTATGTACTAAGGTTATTCTGATAATAAACTCCCTGATTTTATTACCTCACACAAATCTTGGAGTTAAACAATGTCTTACTGTAATTTCCTAGGTAGTTTGCCTCTCTGGTCAGCCCAGATGTTACTGTTGTTTCACACTAATAATGCCCTCTCCCAGAATCCAGAATCTTTAATCCAGGAACTTTATATTTTGACATATATTTATTTTGAAACAGAAATCAAATCAATGTTTTTCAATTTAATGTTTCATTTTTATTTTTGCTATTTTTCAGACATGACATGCACTCAATCTACCCCAACAAGTTTGTCCAGAGAGAAGAGAACAACTCACGATATCGGATCTTCAACACCCTGTTTGAGTTACCAAGTATGTGTAGGGCAGATTAGCATGTCAATGTTCAAACCAAATGTATCTACTGTAGTACTTAATAAGTTCTGATTGAGAACTTCTTCATTGTACCCCACACTTAATGAAAGGAGTATATAGTAATCACTTGGTCAATGTGTCCTGGTTGGGCAGGTGAACCCATATATACCTTTTCATGTCAGATCAAGGAACCAAACCCCGGCCGCCTTGTTGAAAGGTGAGTGCGCTGAAAAAGAAATTGCTTTTTGAACTGATTGCAAATTTAAACTTTTTTTTTTTTTTTCCAGAATTAAAAAATAAATCATGAAAATGGGTCATTATCTAGCTCAATTTACATAGGCAGAAAAAAAAGGCTGGCTCACGTGTCGGGTAAAACGGGTTGTTGGAATATTTAGGTGTCAAATCAGGGACACACATGTTTTATATTTCTACACACAATGAAACAATGCACCTGAAGAAAACCGTGAGTTATTTACTATGTACAAATGATTGTTGCTGCCAAGCATTAATGGCTGTGTCAGCCTGTTAATTACTTGGTGAGATATTGATGGACGAGAAAACAGATTCTGCCAAAACTTTTCTACGACTTACAAACAAAGCCATGGCAACAAATCTTACATCAAAATTGTTTTCATCTCATGGTGGGTTTTTTTATGAAAGTTTCTGTACTTACCTGGGTAAGTCAGACCATCCTTTAGTTATATTTCTGATCGCATGGAACAAGTTCCCCTTAATTAAACATGACTTTCTGAAATGGAAGCTTGCTTGGAATGTAAATGGTAAAGGAATGCTTGATTTTAAGGCACGGTGGAGAAATACTACTGTTTGGTAAAAAAAAATAGAACTATCATCATCAAATTAACAGAGAAAATTAAAATTCTGATATTTTTAGAGGTTTCATGATCATGACATTTTTTCGAATCTTGTTTTAAAATTATTTTCTTTTTTCTTATTAAGATGGGCTTACTTTTGAAAAAATGTGAAATGTGTGTTTCAAGATTTACACATTGTTAAGATGATCGGGGAAGACTTTGCCAAGTTTCGCTGAAGTGTGCCCTTCCACCGTAGATTATGTCAAATTCTGGCTCCCGTTAATGTTTGGCAGCTATGGGATTAACTGTATACAGATATCACTACAAGACGCTCCTAATCCACCTGGACAGAAGAAATCAGAATTTCATCAAGTCACTCATCAAAAGTATACGTCAGTAGCGTTTTCTTTCACTGACAGGAAATTAGAATCTGAAAATAGCCCATCACAGCCTCTCGATGATGTGATGGTTTACATAAGCTTCGGGATGAGCCAGAATGCCATCAAGACAACTCTTTGAAGAAACACATCTTAGCATTGCACTTGTATCAATGGCGCTGTATTCCTCATCATTACAAGGGGTTTAACATGACAAAAACTACGATAATGGCTCGTAGGCTGTAGCTTTTACAAGCTTTTCCACGGTTTCGTATTAAAACTCCCCAAAAAATTGAAAATGGTTTACAACATTAACACGCAAAAATCTTACAAATTCATGTTTGTTGTTGCAGAGTTAAAATCTAAAAGATTAAATCTGAAAAGTTGCAACTATGCTATAGCTTGTTTCCAAGATGCAGAGATCTGTTGTTACATAATAACAAAGATGTTTTTAATTGTTAAATTTTGTTTTATATATCTGCTTTTAACATCAAAAACCTATGTAATGTTGTCACTGCTTTTTTCTTAACAAAAACGTAAACATTTTGATATACGATAATCAAATAGATGTAAAAATTATTTGGAAAGTAACTGATTTAAAAGAAAGAACTCATGTAAAACATTATAAACCTTAAAGCAGGAATCACATTTCCCCTTAACCCTTTCACCACTGTAGACCATAATAGACTCATCCAGATCAATGTATAGTAGAGTCTACTAAAGTTACATAGAAGTTAAAGGGTTAAGTACTGACAGGTGATCAGATTTCACAGGTTCCATTTACATAGAAATGTATACAGTTGAGCCTAGCTGAAGGTCTGGTTTATATACAGGTGTCTAGATTACACAGGTTCCTTTTACATAGAAATGTATACAGCTGAGCCTAGCTGAAGGTCTGGTTTATATACAGGTGTCCATATTACACAGGTTCCATTTACATAGAAATGTATACAGTTGAGCCTAGCTGAAGGTCTGGTTTATATACAGGTGTCCATATTACACAGGTTCCATTTACATATAAATGTATACAGCTGGGCCTAGCTGAAGGTCTGGTTTATATACAGGTGTCCATATTACACAGGTTCCATTTACATAGAAATGTATACAGCCGGGCCTAGCTGAAGGTCTGGCTTATATACAGGTGTCTAGATTACACAGGTTCCTTTTATATAGAAATGTACACAGCTGGGCCTAGCTGAAGGTCTGGTTTATACAGGTATCTGGATTATACAGGTTCAGTTTACATAGAAATGTATACAGCTGGGCCTAGCTGAATATACAGGTTCCATGCATTTACATAGAAATGTATACAGTGTGCTAAGTTGAAGGTCTGGTTTATATACAGGTCTCCAGATTATACAGGTTCAGTTTACATAGAAATGTATACAGTTGAGCCTAGCTGAAGGTCTGGTTTATTCAGGTATCCAGATTACACAGATTAATTTTAATTAGACATGTATACAGTTGGACCTGCTAAGACCTGACATGTTTCTTGAAAGTTTACTGCACTTCAGACAGGATGACCTGTTATCTACATGGTTGTATTTCCGCATTTGTCACTTTTCATAAACTATGATTGTTTTGCAGTTTATCTAATTATATGGTTGTTAAATCCAGAAATTCTTCAAAAAATGATGAAGTGAACTGAAATACGTCATTGTTGTTTCAGTTATATACATTCTGGCATGTCTGGTGGATTTCTTCAGTAACCATAGTGACTACACCAGGTAAGTTTCTGCTTTCTGATTGGTCAACTGCTACAATATCAGTCTCTGATTGGCCAATGTACATACTATTGGCATCATTCTTGAAATCTACCCTGTAACGAAGTTATTTTTGTTGTGAGACCTGAATTTGTTAAGTAACAAGAACATACCTAAAAGTTTGGTGAAAACGCAATAAATTCCAAAAATCTTTGTGGTTATTTTATTCTTGAAAGAAAGATCTCTTAGCAATAATCAGTAAACAAGTGAATTCAAAATTAAATAAAAATTAATTTAAATTTCATAAAAATGAATATTATTTATAACGTATTGTAAATTCTTTGTAAATTAGCACTTAAAGTATGAGACCAATGCCAATTTAAGGTGGCAGAGATGTCTCCATTGTATTTCTATTGGAGAAATGCTGTTTTACCATTTCTGTATCATATCTTGACAAGTAGCTTTTGATATTTATTTGCTTCCTCTCATACCTGACTACTGCAACGAAGGATTGTTGAAACTCTTAAGTGCGAGTAAACTTTTGACAAAAAACGATTATTGCATATATTTTCCGTGACTGTATTTAAGCAAGTTAATTGAGCAGTTAACGTAGAGCGATGGCTCAAACAGCTGTCGTTGGCCCTCCTCATTTCTTAGCTTCCAACTGTAGCCCGCGGTCGGATGGTATTTTAATAATATATGTGTTGACTGTCGAAAATGTAGACGTTTTTCTTAGCCTGTAGGTAAACCATCTCATGAATTCTCTAGCGAACAAATTTCTTGATTTGTTAGCATAATATTCGGCTCCAGCCTTTTTTTTTTTTTCTTTTTTCTTTTTTTTGGGATTTTTTTTTTTAACCACAGTGTATTGCTCTAAACACATTATGTTATAATTAGACAAAATAGAATGCTAGTACATCATGATTGCAAAGCCTTTTGATCGTCATTCAAATGAGTGTGTAATTTGGGTAGTTTTGTTCGTTGTTATTAATCCCATACAGTTCTTGAGGATTACGAGTGCTTCCGTTTTAAATATGAGAGATGTTTCCATGTTTATTCCATGAAGTCCTGACTTGTATGCACTTAGACTCGGAGAACCGACTTGTTGAAGGAAAGTCTGGGCTGTTCTGGGTATGGCGGACAAGTGGTGTAAATATTTACGGAGATGGCATTGCTGTCAGGAATTACTAGGATGGGCTGAAACAAAGGGGAGATAAATACAACAAACTCTGCCATCTGGCTTTACCCCTTACCATTGATTCGATTCAGCAGCACTGGGTCAATGAAAAAGTTATTGAATTAATTATGTTTATTTTACATCCGAATAAGTTTGTGAAGTTTCACAAATCCTGAATTTAGATTTGAACATTTACTTTTACCCCCAACCTCTTACCTTCTGTATCATACTTCCCAATCTGGCTTGACATGTTGCTCAACTCTTTACATTTGACCTTTGACCCCTACATATTTAGAATTTATTTACCTATATATATATACCCGGTATATACAATTTCCTCAACGAGAATGAAGAAGGGCAGGAGCCTGAACATTTTCAATAAGTAACATTCTGTGAAATTTCCATTTTGAGCTTTAATTTCTATTGAAAAATGTCTTCATTATTGAGTCATATTGCTAACCAGCAATTTTAGGTGGTAATAATGAGTTTAAACTGATATCCCTGACTCTTAGTTTCAAAATAGGGGTTTAGCATTGTTAAATAGAGAAACAGGGAACCCTGCACTAATCCTTTACCAAAGTAAGCTGAATTCAACCTAAAGTTCACACCAATTTACTGAGTGATGAGGTCTTCTGCACAACAAGAACAGTTCATTGTTTTAAAACGGCCGATATCTGAGAAATAAATGTTCAGTCTTTACAGCTCTATTGTTCAATTGAATCTAAAGAGCTGACCACAAATCAAAAGTTGGTTTTACATGTATATGAATATATCTGTCAGATCCTACATGTATGACTTATCTGTGTGTCTTCAATGTAGCGTTTAATTGAAAGGCTTTGCACACTTCACAGTTTTCTGTGATAAAAACATGAGTTCTCTCAGCTGTTATCGCTCAAAGCCCCAGAGGTACAATATATACCCTGATTATACACAGGAGTTATCTCAGTATAAGTTGGTAGACATTTGTATGGGGTCTTAAGCTATTGATTTTGATATTTTAATGTCTCCTGGTGATAATAGAAAACATTTAGAATGTCATATTTAACAGCAGACTACTCGTAGTACGTGACGACTGGTCAGCTTCTAGTCTTATAGGGTCATCAGGCAAAACGTGACGACTGGTCAGCTTCTAGTCTGATAGGGTCATCAGGCAAAACATGACGACTGGTCAGCTTTTAGTCTGATAGGGTCATCAGGCAAAAGAGAATTGTTTTGAGTTAGGGCTTAAATGTTAGATATCTAAGGTAATATTTGGAAATAGTGATAGAATAAGTCGATCTTTATTAGGAATAAGGCATATTATCTTTTGTGCTGAGTGTTATCGTTGACTAAATGTCGTGGTTGACTGAATAATGTACCAGGTAGGTATAAACTAAGTTTTGTTGACACAAATACGACATCTTTGATTGACCTTTGAGGACAAGGTCACCTGTAAATGAAAAAAAAACAGTATGAAGCTTATTTGTAGGTCAACCTCAACTGACCTTACGAGTATGTTGCGATTGGTTAAGAAGCCTTACTGATGGTTACTAGCTGAAATAGATCATAATAAATATGTATTTACAAACATTTTAACAGTGGTTTTATATCGGTCAAGTCCAATTTGTCGTACTTTGCTTAGTTAAACTGACATTTACAAACCAATCAAAACAGGAAGCTGAAATCGCGAAAACTTGTGGTCCTTGTTTACGAGGGCTCTCCATCGGAGTGTACATCGCTTTTGCTTTTAACCCCCGGACTAAATAGCGTACTAAAAACCTACCGAGGTGTCACTCCAATACTCCTTAATTACCAAGTTTATCTATCCCTGCACTAAACATTTGCTTCCTCCATGTTAACTATGAAGCGTGGTGAATGTTACGGTTTTTCTATCACATGGAATAGTGTTGGGAAAGATAAGAGCGGCAATTTTTCAGATGCAAAGTACAAAACTTTACCCTAATGAAATTCTTTGAAATGCGAAAATGACGTTAGGCATTTGAGCTGGATTTAATTGGCTCAGTCAGTTTTTTCTCCTTGATTTTAATTAGCTAAGTCAGATCATTAAGGCTTCTAGCTGTACCGAAATGAAAGTCAACTCCCAGTAGCAGACCATCAGTCAGGGCCCCTGATAGTACAAAAAACTACACTCAAGGCACTGTAATATCTTTGAAAGGATTTCCTGTTTTGTGATATTACTTGGAAAGTTCTTGAATTTTGTCAAAGAAGAAACAGATTTATTGATCAAACTTGTAGAAGTTTCTTTTCTAAAATTGCAAGTTTAGCAAAATAGAAACAAATCAGCATGCCAATGAAAAATTGTCCAGACATGAAAGAAATGAACACTTCTGTCTGGCTTTTGGGTACAGTGACGCCCTTAGACATACAATGCCAAAATTAGAAATGATACTTTTTTTCCCTTTAATGAACAGAAAGTGTTGCTTGCTGATTGATTTAGTAACTCAGTGTAATAAAATCATCAATAAAGAAACTTTATAAAAGTATCTAGAAAAATAACCTTTCAGTATTTTAAAAATCGGAATCACATGTTGTTGATGAAAGCTGACTTATAGTGGGCCAAAACATGAACAAAATTCGTCCTAAGTGCACTATGTGATTACAAAAACACAAGAGGGGTGCGCTGAATAAACCCCCTAAGCGTTAAAACCGACAAAAACTGACCGTGTCAGTTTGTGTTCAAACCCATTTTTCTGCTGTACCTTAGAAAATTCTAATGTCCATGAAAGCCCTTGGATCTGCTGCTTCAGATAATGTTGCAGTAAAAGTTGTGTAATTCTTATGCCTACAGGTATGACAAAGGTGTAAAGAGTGGTGACCTCACTATGACCTACGTATCTATGTATCAGGATGTCCTAGCGGCTACAGACCACGTACATCAGAAGGAGGTAGGTATTCCCTACAGAATACGTACATCAGAAGGAGGTAGGTATCCTCTACAGACCATGTACATCAGTTGAAGGTAGGTATACACTACAGACCACGTACATCAGAAGGAGGTAGGTATCCACTACAGACTGCGTACATCAGAAGTAGGTAGGTATCCACTACAGACCACGTACATCAGTCGAAGGTAGGTATCCTCTACAGATCATGTACATCAGAAGGAGGTAGTTATCCACTACCGACCACTTACATCAGAAGGAGGTAGGTATCCTCTACAGACCACGTTAATCAGTAGGAGGTAGGTATCCTCTACAGACCACGTACTTCAGTAGAAGGTGGGTATCCTTTACAGATCATGTACATCAGAAGGAGGTAGGTATCCTCTACTGACCACGAACATCAGAGTACATCAGAAGAAGGTAGGTATCCACTACAATCCATGTACATCAGGAGGTAGGTATCCACTACAGACTGTGTACATCAGAAGGAGGTAGGTATCCACTATAGACAACGTACATCAGAGTAAATCAGAAGGAGGTAGGTATACCCTACAGACCATGTACATCAGAAGGAGGTAGGTATCCTCTACAGACCACATACTTCAGTAGGAGGTAGGTATCCACTACAGACCATGTACATCAGAAGGAGGTAGGTATCCACTACAGACCATGTACATCAGGAGGTAGGTATCCACTACAGACCATGTACATTAGAAGGAGGTAGGTATCCACTACAGACCACGTACATCAGTCGAAGGTAGGTATCCTCTACAGATCATGTACATCAGAAGGAGGTAGGTATCCACTACAGACCACATACTTCAGTAGGAGGTAGGTATCCTCTACAGATCATGTACATTAGAAGGAGGTAGGTATCCACTACAGACCATGTACATTATAAGGAGGTAGGTATCCACTACAGACTGTGTACATCAGAAGGAGGGAGGTATCCACTACATACCACATACATCAGAAGAAGGTAGGTATCCACTACAATCCATGTACATCAGGAGGCAGGTATCCACTACAGACTGTGTACATGAGAAGGAGGTAGGTATCCACTATAGACCCCATACATCAGTGGGAGGTAGGTATCCTCTTGTACATCAGGAGGTAGGTATCCACTACAGACCACGTTCATCAGAAGGAGGTAGGTATCCACTGCAGACCACGTACATTAGAAGGAGGTAGGTATCCTCTACAGACAATTTACATCAGAAGAAGGTAGGTATCCACTACAGACCATGTACATTAGAAGGAGGTAGGTAGCCACTACAGACCACGTACATCAGTCGAAGGTAGGTATGCTCTACAGATCATGTACATCAGAAGGAGGAAGGTATCCAATACAGACCATGTACATCAGAAGGAGGGAGGTATCCACTACAGACCACGTACATCAGACGAAGGTAGGTATCCTCTACAGACCACGTACTTCAGTAGAAGGTGGGCAGACCACGTACATCAGAAGGAGGTAGGTATCCCCTACAGACCACATACATCAGAAGGAGGTACGTATCCACTACAGACCATGTACATCGGAAGGAGGTAGGTATCCACTACAGACCACTTACATTAGACGGAGATAGCTTTCCCTACAGACCACGTACATCAGAAGGAGGTAGGTATCCACTATCGACCACATACATCAGTGGGAGGTAGTTATCCTCTACAGACCACGTTAATCATACATCAGTGGGAGGTAGGTATCCACTACAGACCACTTACATTAGACGGAGATAGGTTTCCCTACAGACCACGTACATCAGAAGGAGGAAGGTATCCACTACAGACCATGTACATTAGCAGGAGGTAGGTATCCACTACAGACCACTTACATTAGAAGGAGGTAGGTTTCCCTACAGACCATGTACATCAGGAGGAGGTAGGTATCCACTACAGACCACTTACATTAGACGGAGATAGGTTTCCCTACAGACCACGTACATCAGAAGGAGGAAGGTATCCAATACAGACCATGTACATCAGAAGGAGCTAGGTATCCACTACAGACCATGTACACCAGAAGGAGGTAGGTATCCACTACATACCATGTACATCAGAAGGAGGTAGGAATCCACTACAGACCACGTACATCAGAAGGAGGAAGGTATCCACTACAGACCACGTACATCAGCAGGAGGTAGGTATCCACTACATACCATGTACATCAGAAGGAGGTAGGAATCCACTACAGACCACGTACATCAGCAGGAGGTAGGTATCCACTACATACCATGTACATCAGAAGGAGGTAGGAATCCACTACAGACCACGTACATCAGCAGGAGGTAGGTATCCACTACAGACCACTTACATTAGAAGGAGGTAGGTTTCCCTACAGACCATGTACATCATCCATGTACATCAGGAGGGAGGTATCCACTACAGACTGTGTACATGAGAAGGAGGTAGGTATCCACTATAGACCACATACATCAGAAGGAGGTACGTATCCACTACAGACCATGTACATCGGAAGGAGGTAGGTATCCACTACAGACAACATACATCAGAAGGAGGTAGGTATCCTCTACTGACCACGAACATCAGAGCACATCAGAAGAAGGTAGGTATCCACTACAATCCATGTACATCAGGAGGCAGGTATCCACTACAGACTGTGTACATGAGAAGGAGGTAGGTATCCACTATAGACAACATACATCAGAAGGAGGTAGGTATTCACTACAGACCACATACATCAGAAGGAGGAAGGTATCCACTACAGACCATGTACATCGGAAGGAGGTAGGTATCCACTACAGACAACATACATCAGAAGGAGGTAGGTATCTTCTACAGATCATGTACATTAGAAGGAGGTAGGAATCCACTACAGACCATGTACATCAGAAGTAGGTAGGTATCCACTACAGACCACGTTCATCAGAAGGAGGTAGGTATCCACTACATAGTAGGTAGGTATCCACTACAGACCACGTTCATCAGAAGGAGGTAGGTATCCACTACATAGTAGGTAGGTATCCACTACAGACCACGTTCATCAGAAGGAGGTAGGTATCCACTACAGACAACATACATCAGAAGGAGGTAGGTATCTTCTACAGATCATGTACATTAGAAGGAGGTAGGTAGCCACTACAGACCACGTACATCAGTCGGAGGAAGGTATCCTCTACAGACCACGTTAATCAGAAGGAGGTAGGTATACTCTACAGACCACGTACATCAGAGTATATCAGAAGGAGGTAGGTATCCTCTACAGACCACGTTAATCAGTAGGAGGTAGGTATCCTCTACAGACCACGTACTTCAGTAGAAGGTGGGTATCCTCTACAGATCATGTACATCAGAAGGAGGTAGGTATCCTCTACTGACCACGAACATCAGAGTACATCAGAAGAAGGTAGGTATCCACTACAATCCATGTACATCAGGAGGTAGGTATCCACTACAGACTGTGTACATCAGAAGGAGGTAGGTATCCACTATAGACCACGTACATCAGAAGGTGGTAGGTATCCGCTACAGACCATGTACATCAGAAGGTGGTAGGTATCCAATACAGACCATGTACATCAGAAGGAGGTAGGTATCCGCTACAGACTATGTACATCAGAAGGAGGTAGGTATCCACTGCAGACCATGGGGCCAGGGCACTTGTTTAGTTGTGTAAGGAGTATAAATATATCAGATATTGAGTCTGAAAACCGTTGAGAAGTTGCTAAACCCAACATACCAATCACAGTTGTAAAAATTCAGCAAAGTAAAACTAATAAAAAAGAAATTGCCAGATCATGTAAAGACTAGTACTGTAGATCAATGCCGACTCTCCAGTCTCTTATGTCAGATGATAAACTTCGATAATCATATTGTAATAACAGAAGTTGTTATCTGGAATATACTCTTTTGATTTATGGCTATTTTACAACTGCATTATCTCAATTTTCGTCTGATTTTGTGAAGATTGAGAATTAGGATTACTACTTGAACAAACTGAATTATGGTCAGTTAAACGAGTGACAAAGATTATTTATGTTACTGCATATATCAATAACAATTTCTGTAAATGTTGTTGTTTTTGATAATTATTTAATATTCAATACAATTGGTTACGATATATATATATATATATATATGAATTAAAACATTATTATACATGATGTCTGAAGGAATTTATATTCCTTGGTATAGGGGAGACAACCTCAATACTTACATCACAAAAGCTTATCCTAGGGAAATAACTCTATAATACACATAATAATATTTCTTGTAATTGTGTTTACATTGAATTGAAATGGTTTCTGTGATTGATTTACTGTATAAATTGATATTCATTTTGTCATCTTGAACACTCTAGTTTCAGATATTTGCATACAAAGATGAGGAATCTGTGACTGTACCTTTTCACTTCATGAAATTGATTTTTTTTTCTCATTTTTTAGGGTCAATTAAAAAGGGAGACAGTCAAGGACCTGGAGCGATATGTCATCAAGGATGACCGACTTCCTGTCTTACTTGACAGGTAGATCATTACTTTATGTTATCATTCAGGAAGACAGTAATTTGTCATTTAATTTTCAGTAAAGTTCACCAGTTTTGTTCATTTAAATCTTTGAATACTTTTTATAAGATTTCTACGATCTCTCTCTGTGTTTTCCAACCAAAATTTGCCATTAAGTAATATTAAGAAATTGAAATAAAAGGTATTATATAAATCAAAGAGGAGATTAAGTTAACAAATTATTGTCTATTGTGTACTATGTTATATAATAATTGTATTACCATTAGCTAGGAACCTATGAAATCAATTTGTTTAAAGCAAAGTTTCCATCAATATCACCTGTTAATTGTTATGATGTTATTCTATGTGGTTAGAGTTGAAATTAATACCAAATTTATTAGTGCAATTAAAAACATTATTCCGGATTTCAGATTTTCGCATCAGCCATTTATATCTGAAAGTTTGTGCAACTGTTGGAATACCCTTAATTTTAAAGCACCAACAATTTTTTTATTTGAATTGAATTACTTACTTTATCCTATTTTCATTGATTTGTTTCAATTCAGCTTTTGTAAATTTGATAAGTGTTATTTTGGTCACTGCAGTTTGGAAACCCTGTATACATGACTACTCAAATTTGTTTTTTTAACTTTTGCTCCATGACAGAATGAGAGCCCATGGGTCAAAGGTTTTCCTGGCCACCAACAGTGACTTTGTGTACACTAATGTAAGTACAGTAAACTAGATATCCTCGTACCTTATATTATAAATAAACTGTTTTAATGTATTTTTGTTGCTGAAATTTCATCCCTTCATATTCGTTACTTAGCATATTGTATTCAGTGGCCGTTTCTTCATTGCGGCATCATCTGAACACATTTATACACATTGTGTATGCAGTAATTTGGAAGAAGAAGTACATAAGAACCCGTCTGTAAAGGAACAGTGGTACTGTCTGGGACATCATTTGATCTGTGATGACACAAAGTGTAGAAAATAAGTTCTTAATTTATCACTTTTGAGCTTTTTGTACCTTGGCTATCAGATGTTTCATCAGATATCCATTTCTGGTGTTTTATTGAATTTTTAATGCCCATAGTTTTGATTGTATTCTGTTTATTATATTATTCCTTATTATTGCATTTCCCATTTCCAGAATGCAAAACGAGAAAATGAGAAAAACTACAATTAAAATTCTATGAAAAGGCTTTTTACCTGGTAATACTAAGTAACTAAGTAACAAATATTAAAATTGAAGTAAAAGTCGGTTATTCCTACGGTATTAACAGATTTAACACACATATGTATCTGGATGTGTCTCAGAGGTCCATTTTTGAATCGTGATGATGGGGCCAATGAACTCTTGCACACCCATGACCTGGTATTAAAGAAAGCATACCCAAATTGATTTGTCAATTCAATAGTCGTAATGTACTATCAACTCTTCCTCTCGATAGAGACCATATACACACTGCACTGAATAGGTACAGGTAACTATTCGATGCAGTGTGTATACACCTCTATCCATAAGCGAAAAGTCCCAGGTCAAACGACATAAAAAATATACAATTTCGTCACATCGTCATTTTGTACATTAAAAGGGTTATTGTATTTAATGGAATCTTTTATGTGTTTTGATTTCACATGAGATTGATATCAACAAGTTAAAGCTCACTAAATGAAAAGAAAACTTCTTGGATTCTGTCATAAATCTAATCTTAAATCTCATGTAAAATGAAAGCTCATGTAAAAATGTAATGATATATGAGGTTTTACCATTGTTTGATTGTCTTTTGCAGAAAGTCATGAACTACCTGTTAGACTACGATAAAACGGTGAGTGTAAACTAAGAACAGCGCATTCTATATTTACCGACATCAAGAGGGACTAAATAATATGGTCGGATAAGTGAGTGTGATGGTTAACAACAGAAATCAGATTTTTAGAGGGCCTTGAAATTATGTCAGGTATTATTACATTGTACCCTCAAAACCAGGTGTCAATTGAGTCGGGTTCCACTCTACTTCATTTAAAAGTTTAAAACGAAAATGTTTGATAATTTTATATCTACAAAAAATATCATATGTCACGACTCCCAAACTCCGTAATATATATAATATACTTTTGTGAAATTGCCATTTTAGTATTTTTAACAGAAAACTTCAGTAGTTATTCTATAAGATCATAAATCTTATTTCGTAGAAGACTTTTTATACCGTTTACACTCCCTGTACCATCCTATCAATGTCTTATCATCTACAGCGAGACTGGACCAAGTACTTCGACTTCATCATCTGTGATGCCAGAAAGCCGTTGTTCTTCAGGGAAGGAACAATTCTGCGACAAGTAAACAAGGTCAGTTAATTACAATGATTATCGTTAATATGATTTTCAGTGTAACCATTACTGCTAAATTCTTTAGCCCTAGGTCTCCGCATTTTTGTCTCACCGCCACAGCCCTAGGTCTCCGCATTTTTGTCTCACCGCCACGAAGTGGAAGTGAGACTTAGGTATTGCTTTTCCGGCGACGGCGTCAACATTAAGTTTTGTGTTTAAGTTAGTTGCACTGAAAGTATATGTGTCAGACCAACCAAACTTGGACCATAGATGTATCTTAGGTAGTACATATTTCAACCCATGCATCAAATGCTGGATGGGGCCTACCTGTCATGGTCCATTGACTTTGTCAGTATCTCCATCATCATTAAGTTTTTGTGTTTAAGTTAGTTTCTCTGATATGTGCATTGATGGTCAAAGCGGGGCATAGGCGAGACATATCAATCTGAATGGCTTGTTGAAGACTATTTTTGACTATTTATAACTTGCCTGTCCATTTGATTTGATTGAAAGTAGTTTCAAGCAAGACTATTTTTTTTTTACTTTATTTGCATATTAGCACCATGATTTCTGATAAAAAAAAATTAGCTTGAATAAATAACACATTTGAAAAGCAGATTCTCTTGCTTTTGTTTTCTCCATCCATCAATCTATCCATCCAATCCATCTAGGTAATAGTGACTGGTTTTGAAGGTTTATGATTTGTGTTTTACAGGAGACAGGAGCTCTGAAGATCGGTTCACATACGGGTCCTTTACAGTCTGGGCAGATTTACTCGGGAGGTGAGTCGTGACCGACCCTATGATTTTAATTCTTTCCCATCCTCAAGCTCAAACTCTTGTCTAAATCCTACCTCCCTGTTCAATCCTGTTTCTCTCTCCTCAAACTTTACCTCAAGGCCAAAGGCACAATAGATTTATACCAGGTGTATAACCTTGTATAGGACCAAGGTGAGCTTATTTATGCCATACCGTGGCGTCTGTCGTCCGTCCGTCGTCCGTCCATCAACAATTTCTTTAAACGACTTCTTCTTCTTAACCACTGATTGGAATTTAACTAAATTTAACTGGAAGCATTCCTAGGTGGTGGGGATTCACAAGTGTACAAATGGTGGGGCTGACCCCCCAGGGGGTGAGGGTGGGGCCCAAAGGGGGCAATTTGGCTATATTGCTTTAAGCAACTTCTTCTCTGGAACTAAAAGATTGATATCAACAATATTTGACTTGAAGCATCCCTAGGTGGTGGAAATTCAAAATTGTACAAATGGTTGGGCTGACCCCCCAGGGGGTGAGGGTGGGGCCAAAAGGGGGCAATTTGGCTATATTGCTACAAAGGGCTTCTGTAGAACTATGCACTGGATATCAATCATATTTAATCAAAAGCATTCATGGGAGGCAGGGATTCAAAATTGTACAAATGGTGTGGCTGACCCCCCAGGGGGCTGAGGGGCGGGGCAAAAAGGTAGCAATTTGGCTTTATTGCTTTAAGCGACTTCTTCTCTGGAACTTAGAGATGGATATCAACCATATTTGACTGGAAGCATCCCTAGGTGGTGGGGATTTAAAATTGTACAAATGGTAGGGCCATCCCGCAGGGGGCTGAGGGCGGGGCCAAAAGGGGGCAATTTGGCTATATTGCTATAAACGACCTCTTCAGTAGAACTATGCCATGGCTAACAATCATATTTGGTCAGAAGCAATCATGGGAGGCAGGGATTCACAGTTGTACAAATAGTGGGGCTTACCCCCCGGGCTAAGGGGTGGGGCCAAAAAAAGTTTATTACTTGGAAATGGTTGAGATCCCCACCGTATAACCATATATACAATTGCTGAGTATAAATAGAAGAATGCACATTTGCTTCCAGGATGGCTCTAGGGTCTGGCCCCACCCTTGGAGACCTAGTCACTGGGCCATAACTTTAAAACAGTTGAGATCCCCACCCCAAAACTATATATACAAATACTTGGCATAAAGAGACAAATGCAGTCATGATATTAGAATTGATCCTGGGGTCTGGCCAGAACCCTAGGGACCTAGTTTCTGAGTCACAGCTTGGAAACAGTTGAGATCCCCACCCCATAACCATACATAAAATTGCTGGGCATGAAAGATCTAATTCAGATATGCTACAAGGATTGGCCTTGGGGTCTGGTATATTCCCTTGGATCTCATTTGGAGAATATTTTACCATGATTGCTTTGATATCCAGGTGAGCGATACAGGCCCTCTGGGCTTCTTGTTATTTTTTCTTTCCATTTTCTTTTCATTTTTTATACAAATTCTGTCTTTTTTTTAATCTCACCCAACAAAACCCAATCTGTGATTTTTGTAGATGGTGGAAATCAGAAGGACGGGAAGATTAAGTATGTGTGTATATATGTTCGTGTTGTGTTTGTCGGAATGTAAAAAGTATGAAAGGTGTAATTTACGGTTCTATAGAAAAAGCGACATTGAATGCACACGATATGTCAAACAGTCATGGATGACAATTTTAAGATTATGAGTCTCCATTGTAGAGGTTTCATAGATATCCAAAAGTGAAAAGTTTAATTACCTTACAGAAATGATATGTTCGTGTTTGCAGGACACCCCACCTGGTCACATTATACTGACAACTGGTGAACCAGTCATCCCACTCCTAAATTGCTGAGCTTTAAGCAGGAGTAGAAAACCTTTTCTGGAAAGAAGTACTAACTGACTTATAAGAATTTGCTAGAAGAAATATATGATGAAGATAATATATACCAACAACTATGGTATAATGACAAAATAAAAAATTGATGATAAACCAGTTTAAATATTTAAAACAAGGTATTGTTTGTACACGACCTATTAAACATACGGGGTGAAATAATTTACTCTTACAAACACTTTTGTGAAAAATATGAGTTCCGTCCCCAAATAACTATGTTCTATGGTTTACGCAATGCAATTACAGATCTATGTAATACGTAACACGAAACAGGCAGCGTACCACCATATTGCCACATTGTCCAAGATACATCTAATTATGATAATTTGAGGTTCTTATATACTGCTTTATCACCACCTAGGTCGTAGGTCGTCTCAAAGCGGTTCACAAATTATTATCCGTGGTTATAGGGCCTTAATGCAACCAGCCTATACCTTTCTCAACTCCCTGGGGAGCATACAGCCAGTGCTGCCATTTCGGCGCTCACAGCTAACATTCAACAATTCTAGCACTACCCAACCACATACTCATTTACAGCTGAGTTGACTGGAACAAATCTTCAAGTTCACATATCTACTGTTTAATAAAAAACAAACATAAAGGTCAGTCAATATATTGTTTATTTGTTAAAAAATTGAAAGTGAACAACAAATATAAATCATATAAAGAATTAGATTTAGTGGTAGATGACATATGGTGTGAAGAATTAGATTTAGTGGTAGATGACATATGGTGTGAAGAATTAGATTTAGTGGTAGATGACATATGGTG